ATTTGCTGACATGACTCTTCACTGTGGCAAGAAGCATTTGTGAAGATTTCAAGATACGCTTGTGAAAGTGTATCTTGAAATCATGTATGCAAGGTTTTAGTCAACGTTGATACCATCATTGTGCAGGAAGAGAGGCCAGCAAGACTGCAGGGAATAAAAGGGGAGTCTGAATGAATGAAATCAGGCTGGAATTTTGGTGTAGAGACCCCTGTTACACAAATTACCTCACAGTTTGGTTAGAAAATGAACTCCAGTGCAATTTACCTGTAATTTATGTAGGGGGTTTTATCTGCCTTACTTTTGATGAAAATATTATGCCATTGTTGCCAGAATGGCATGGTTGAAGGAGCTGAAATACTTAAGAGTAATTTGGGGCAGGATGACCCTTCAGGTGACTTCTTCATTTTAATTCACATACTCAGTTTAGAGATGAGAACATCTAGAGTTTCTTACCCCCAAAGACTTCTCAAACTGGGGCTGGGATCCTCGACTTCTTAAATTTAACACATGCTATTAGATGGAGTCTTCAATCTGCCCTCTAATTCTATGTTTTCCCCAAATACTAACTGCACATCCATTGAAGCTAAGGCTGTTTCTGTGTTGTTCCTGAAGTGCTTTTACTTTCTCTCTGTTTTTACAGGTTTGCAGTCTTTTTATACCCTCCTGATGGATTTATCTGCTTTAGTCTTCATTGCTTAGGTTCAAGGCTTCCTCTCTTTACCGAACTGTCAATTTGGTTATTTTTGTACATATGGTCATCACCTCAGCTACTAGTTGAGCTTGACACACAAACATGTACATATGTGTGCAGATGCACATGTGCACATATAGTCTAGAATATGCATCCAATGCCTGTGACTTTTGACCCTCACATCTCATTGATTGCCTGTTCTTGGCTGCAGTTCACCCCAGTTCAGCTAGTGGATTGTGCCCTGCTGGGAGACTCAAAGCAGCCTTCTCAGCTACTGTCCTCCAACAAGTTCCCTAGCAGGACTTCCAGATTTGCTGTACCTTCAGTAGCAGGGTTTAACTCCAGAAGGACAATCGTAAGACCCTGTGTTTCTTTTCTGTTCCAGAAAATGCCATTCACCGTGGCCCCTTTTCATTCTGTATTCAGCTCCGTCTGTTTAAAATGAGGCTTTGGGTTTAGGGTCTTCTACAAATGCATATCTGCTCCAACGTATGGAGGGTCTTTGCCTGGCTTCCCAAACAAACTTCACAATAGGGATGGCTTTCTTTAGGTATATGTTACCTAAAGAACATAGGTACCTCCTGTGTTCTACCTGCTTAGTACTTGCATCTGAAGGAGCCCACCTCAAAAAAGTGCTATTCCAGGCCATTTCTCCCCAAACTTACAGGCATATGCTGTATTGCAAATCTGGGTGTACCACAATGTGAAGTGGATATGACCCTGTGGCAAACCCTATATTGGTTGTAGCAAGCCCCACGTCCTGCAAGGCTGTTACGCTTTCCAGGCTATCTGCTTACAAATCATAGCTTGATATCATGCCAAGGCTATTCAGCAGGCAGCTAAAAGGTCTGTGTGCTGGTCTGTATGAAGACCAGGTGACTTTCAAGGCAACCTCTTTTCCAGGCTTTGCATATCACCTGGGAGGCAGCTGATATTTGTAGTCTTCAGCCTTCTTAAAAGGCCTCCCCATCCTTTGTTTCATAAATTTAAGCCCTTCCCATGAGCTTTTTCCAGGCTGAGTGCTTCGTAACACCTCACACACAGGGCTCACAACCCTATATGAGTCAGTTCCAATGGCCTCTGCTCTCTTTTAAGTGGGTCAGCTCCCACATCTCCCCCGGCATCAGCTGTATGAAATAAATAGATACTACAGACACAGCAAAGTATGAATGCTCAAGTAATGATACTATATACTTCCCTCACTCTGAAGTTCTTTCCAGGGTCTCTTATATTCTAGCTTGAATTTGATTGAATATAATTGGATGTGTCATTTGCTCATACATACTTATCCTAGGGAAACAGCAGCTGATACACATTCAAAGGGCTGTGAAGACCACTCCAAATGCCTGGGAGTTAGGCATTCGACATCTCTGCGGGTCTGGACCACGAGGAGTGTAACACAGAGTTAATAGCAGGCAATCCCTATCGCATCACCCCGAAGATGGTGTGGTGCGGTGCCAAAAAGGTTCATTCACCTCACAGCCATTGAGGAAATATATTAAATGCTAGTGCCTGAGAGGATTTAGGGCCTCCTAAGTGTTGGGGAGCCGGTACTGGGGACTTCTCCCGGTGCTGGACTACGCAGCCCGTGAGCGGCCGGACAGACTCCGTTCTGCTGCCCCCCTCTGCTGTTCAGCGCAGCAAACAGCACGCTCTTCTCCCAATTCCCAGAGTGTTTCCTGTTTAGATGGTTTGCTTCTTTCTTTGGCCAGGTCTGGGAGGGGGAGCGGCAGAGGGAGCCTAGCTGCAGCTCGGTGTGTTTATTGTGCTTGGCAGCTGGCTGCAACTGAGAAAGGAAATAATGGCGATTTCCTGCTCACGGTAATTCTCCTTTTTGACCTCTTTATAGATAAGGAAGAGAAAAAGATAATTTGCTGGAAAAGCAAAATGAATGGCACACAAAACCCAAATTGTGGCAGGGGAGATACTAGCTACATGTGCAGCATGTGGAGATGGGGTGAGGCAGAGAAGCTTTAGAGGTTTAGAGTCAAGGTCGAATGAAGGCTGTGGTTCAGTTCAGATTTGAAAATATTAACACATTCTCACATCTTGCTTTTTCAGGATGTCAGTTCCTTATTAAATGAGAATTTCACATTAAGGCCTTTGTGGGTTTAGATTGGACTGCAACTAAAAAGAATTCACATGCAAGTCTTCTTCCCTCTCCTCCTAAAAATCTCTTTCAAATGGTTTGGCTTTGAGATTTTGGATTCCAGTTTAATTCAAATACCAAGCAGAATAAAGGAAAAGGCACTGCAACATTAGATAATTATAAATGATAAAGTGGCACCCTTGGAATTTTTAAGCTTGCCAGTTTAAGCAACCGATACCATCATCTAGATTGTATTGACTTGTTTTTCTTTCTTCAAATTAAAACCTGATGCCAAGTCATTCTTGCTGTTTAAAAAAAGAAAAAAGAAAAAAAAAGAAAGAAACAAACAAAATATCCACCCATTTTGCTCTGTGGTCCTGATACAAACAAACAAACCACACAGCTTGGAAAGAAGGCAGGCTTTGCTTGCTATCTTCATCTTGTTCTCTCGTTTTGCTGGATCAGCCATGGATTCCTGCATTTTTCTAAAGCCTGGCTAGCACGTGCAAGTTCTGCACAATGGGCCAGTATTTCTGCAATTCCTGACTACCTCCGCTCCTCCTTTGTTTTGTCAGGAGTAACGCCAAGAAACTTGGAAGGGGCTCAGATGTAAGAAGTTGGTACATCCTCTGGATTAAACCCCTTCAGGAGGCCTGTAAACAATGTGATGGCATTTTCTCTGCACACCCATAAATGTCTAAGACAGTGAGGGTTGCAAAGGCCAGGGCAGTCTGACGTTTGTGCGTGAAAAGCAGTGGCATTCCCATCCTGAGCAAATAAATAGGGAGAACTGAAGGGTCTCCTTCTCTGGCTGCTGAGTCAACTGATGAAGTGCAGGATGTTAATTTTCTGTGTTCTTTTGTGGCTATCTGCTCCATTTACTATTTTATCCAGGACAAAGGTTAAAAACGGGCCCTAAGATTGCAGGAGGAGCTGTGGAAGGACATGGATTTCCTTTTGGATCATCACACTGAGGGGCGTTCTTCACAGAGAGAAAGAAGCTGATTTCAGCCTCCTCTAATCCCTGCATTAGACTCCCATTCAAAACTAAAATGGCTGCACCATGACTTAATTTAACTCCTTCAGAAACAGATCAAATTCAAGAAGTTTAACTCCAGATCGGAGCATGCCCATGGGAGTTCAGTGTGGTTAAATGAATCCTCTGCAATTTCACATCTTTGACAAATTTGGAAGGATTTTCCCATATATCCTGACATCCATAAACCTCAGTCTAGGGATCTAGGGAGCATTTTGCTTCTTGAGGGAGCAGGAGGACTTTCCAACACGTACGTTTAATGTGAACAATCAATAAAGCAAAGAATTAATAACAATATGGCCACAGGCTGTAAGCAGTGGAGTAATGTATGTTGTACTCCCAGGCTTCAGGTATTCCATAATTCATTACTCGGAGTGAAGATCAGACTCAGATTTGTTCTTTGAACACAGATCGCTGGAAGCAGTGTGAGCAGTGATTGCCAGGCCTCTATTAATTAACGTGGGTTGCATCTTGTCTTTGTGACAAGTTGCAGTCAGCATAATGTCAAAAACCATGCCTGCTGACTGCACATATTGAAAAGGGAGGGGGCACCCTCCCCTTCCTTCTCAAATCATAACGCTGCCTCTAAGTCAATATAGCAGGGATTGCTTTCATTTGTTTTCGAGCTTCTGAGTTTCCTGTATTCAAGCTTTTCTCAATTGCAGATCAAAAGAGAGAGATGTCCAGTAAAAACTTTGTGATCCCATGATTTGAAGAGCAGGAGCTTTAAGTAAATCGCCACATTTTCATGTGAAAATTGCAATTCTGGGGCTGCCTGCATTCCAAACAAGCCTGCCTGAAGTATTTCATTTAGATAGGTTATCATTCGTGATTATCTGCCTAGCACTGACAGGAGCTGTAAAACCCCCAGAAATGGTGGCATTTCCATTTATTCCCGTGTTCAGCTTGTAGAACATACTCATGACATGAAAATACCATAGAAATGCAAGGTAATTATTATCATTATGTAACTCCTTAGCATTTGGGAGCAGAATTAACAATTTGAGTAGCGCCTATAAGAAAACCAGAATACATTTCAGTAAGCCTGTCATTTTTGATCTCTTAAGTAATCTTAAATAAAATTGCACTGGCTTAGTCAGTGGGGAAAAAAATAGCAAGTTCTTATAATCTTCCCTGTGATGATAATACATGTATTCCTTCATTTAAATAAAATCTCTGAACAGCACCTGGAATTTTATGGAGAAATCCTGCACTGGGGATTTGAATGCAGCATGCTTGCATATGAAATGTCAGAATTGCAAGGACAAGGACAGCAGTGAAATTTAAAAGGTGACAGATAAGACAGATGGCTGAGCAGAAGTGGTCTGCATTGCCATGGAGAAAAGCCTGATGCCATCCTCAGCAATCAGTGCTCAAGCTTGCAAGAGTCTGGCTGCTATGGAAGCATCCGAGCCAACCCTGGGTGTTGCAATATGCCAGTTTTCCCAGAAACAGATTGATGTACAATGTGTACGATTTTTTATTTTCTTGAGGGAGGAGGGGAGAACTATCTATGGATTTGGGGCTGTGATTTGGCTTTGGATTTTGTCTTATCAATGCATTTATTGACACCTCAGAAGATTTCTTTGAAATAGAGATGATATTGTGCATATTAGCATATCCTTCTTGGAAATTACTCCTGCTTTTTTCCCCACAGGGAAAGCAGAAAACCACTGTTTGTACAGAATATACTGATTTCTACTCACTGTTCTGTGTTTAATCTGTGAGAAAGGTCCTGTGTTCCTCTCTTGAGACTGCTAACAGTGTTGACCTCTGCTTTTCGAGCAGTTTCATCACCTTTTGCAGGCTTGCCTTTGCAAGGAGACCTGCACTCCTGAGTGGTCCATGCAACACCCAGTTAGAGCTGATGCCCACACTGTGAAGAGGTTTTTGTGGGCTGGGCTCAAAGCTGTGTCTGATTATAACTGGGACTGGGAGGGAAGCAGTCTGGGAGCCCAGACGTCAGGGTTTGCAGTAATTGCTGAGCAATACAGGGAACCAGGATTGAAAGAAAGTGAGAATACTCCCTGAAAGGAAGTGTGAAAGCTTTCTGCCTCCCAGGGCTGAAATTCTCTGGAAATATAAAGAGCTACCAGAAAGAGTTTAAACAGTGACTCAGTCTGTCTGTAACTGCAAGCAGAGGGTGCCCAAATAAAGATAGTTAAGCTTAACTAGCCTGATTTCTAACCATTGCTTTTTCTAAAGCATCTGATGATTGTGAAAGTCTCCATTTAATCCAAGAGAATGCAGCTTGATGTGAAACTGTCTTACAGGCACTTGAGTGGTACTGACAGCACATGAAATGTGAGCAATATGTTTTTAAGTGTCAGACAAAAAGGATGTTGAAAGCACAAAAGAGTACACAATTGGCCCAATGAGCCAAGGTTACGATTTTGAGAAGATTGAACTCTTGGTCAGAGACGAGGCTGGGTCCAGCGTACAGCAAAACAATAAAGGCTAAACCCTTGGCAACGTAATTAAAACATAGCCTGAGAGGAAAGTCCCCAGCTGCAGTGAAGCTCATGGAGAGCAGGCAGGTCTCTGAGACCTGGTTCCTGGTAGCAGGCCCGAGGCAAAATGTGGTATGAATCTCCAACAGGCAGTATATAACAAATGTGAGCTGCACAGACTGTGCAAACTCCCACCCCCAGCCAATGCTGTGTGTCTGGGGACCTGCTGTGGGTTGTACTCCCTTGGAAGAGATGGCAACCCCAAAGGGGTGGCAGCAATGCTGTGGGTAACCAAGGGGACTCAGCACTGCAGTGTGCAGAGCAGATGGGATGTAGATTCATTTTCAGTTGGGTGGGAGCATGCAAGCTAGCATGGTTTCGGAAGGAGGGATCTTATAGTACTGGATAAGCAACCATGAGTGGAAAAAGTATTGTCATACAGTGGTAGAAAAAGCTAAGCCCTTCTAAGAGTCTGATATAGTCGGTATCAGTTCTGGTAACAGATAGTAGAAAGAAAGGCCATATGCTGGGGAGATGGGCGTGGAAATGACATAAACAGCATCTCAGCAGTATTCCCTTATGTTGCTTGGGTCTGAACTGTTATAGCTGAGGTCACTCCAGTCCAGTGTCTGGACTGCAGGATGTTGAATCTCTCCCCAGCCCTGAATCTTGCCTCTTCTCCCAGGAGTAGATCCTGCAAGACGAATATGCTGGGTTGGCGGACGTTTCTCTTCCCTTGTTTTGACAGAGAAGGCTTTGCCTAAGAGCAGCCCCCAGTCTTGGCTCCGGACCCGGTCTTTAGGGGACCTCTTTGCCTCACTGCAAAGAGAGATGAAGAGAAGTGTCCTCTTTTCTTTTCAGCCTCCTCTCTCCTAGAGTAGGACCCCAGACAAATCCACTGCAGGGTCCAGGAGAAAGACAAAAGAGACTGGAGGAGGTGATGTCTCCTATGCAGGAGAGGGGAATGCTGGCACAGACAGCCCTTCGGGGCCCAGATCTGGCCAGCAACTGCGATTCTCCCAGTGGGACTTCTAAATACATGCAGCTTCAGCAGGGAAATTAATGCTCCAGATGGGAATATGGAGAAGGGAGCTGAGAGAAAAATTAATTACAAATGGGGCATAATCATGCAATAGTAAAACTTCAGTGTCATTTAATTTCTGTCTAAACAGAGCATGGTTTTGTGCTCATGGTTAGCAGGGGATGGATTCAGGAAGCAGCATTAAATTCTTGGCACTGTTTCTGATTCACTCTGTGGCCTTCAGGAAATGACTTAATTGTGAGGCGTGCAAGGTGCTGAGCACATGCTGAGGAGCATTTCTTTCCTCTGAAGCAAAGGGGGTTTCTGGAGGGGAACAAAAGCTCAGTACCTCAGAGGGTCAGGATGTGCTCATTGAAAAAGTACAGTCTCCTTGTAGCTTGCATAAAATTGGAGTTCAAAAATCCAGGGTGCAGGTATCCTTATCATTTGCAAAGCAAGGAGGATGGTTTGCTGGGGATCTATGAGGAAGCCAGATAAAAAGGGCTCTAGCTCAATTAAAGCATGGACTGTCTTTGTTGAAAGAAAGGGGAACAGAGCCACTCAGGCATACAGGCTCACATCATGAAACAAATTACAGGCTGACACATAGGCTAATAATCTGCGCTTTGGTGCAATAGGCAGGAATAATTCAAAACCTCTGTGGCTGGCAAAGGTGAACTGAGAGTAATGGGGAAACTTCTTTCTACTGAAATCTGTCCCACTGTGGCTGACCAGGTCATGACCTGACATGGTCTTGTGAACCTCCATGCTGGTGCTCCCAGTTTGAGTGGCCCAGGGCAGTGCTCATCAGGGGAGGCGGATGGAGTTGGCTATCCCGCAAAATGTGAGAGCATTGCATAGTGCAAGGTTAAGGTCTGCTCCTGGGCAGATCATGGGACTTCCCCTTGTATTTTCACTGCAACTGCCTGCTTTTTTAATACCTTTTGCACCCTGGGAAGCTACCTACCATATGCCTCCGGATAAATCCCTGCTGGGCAGTATGGGTCCATGTTACACATGCTGGGAGTCCCTTCAGGCAGAGCTGGCCTGCACTGTCCTTAGATATAGACAGCAAACATGAACGTCAGGAAAATATATATATTCAGCTGTGTGTGGGTTATGTTCAGAAGATCAGCCACATAAGTATTGCTGCAATAAATGCCCATAAATGCTCTATAAAAATACAATAAATGGATTTGTTCCATGACATTTAGTGAGCAAGTAATATTTTTGTTGAAATCCCAGTTACATGTTTAAGATGTGGGGCTAATTTCACGTATGGGTATATATGGGTATATATATATGTATGGGTATACATACACATACACACATGTTGGTAGAAATTCTGTGTGTTCATATTAAAGAGGCATAAGAAACTGCTTGCTTTTGAAACTAGAATGTATATTCCATCTGAACAGAAAGTCTCCCTTGTCTACATAAGCTCTGTTGCTCTGTGATATCTCTGCTCCTGTTTGGTGGGTCTGTGGCTTCTTTCTTTTTTCCTGGCACTCTTCTGTGCACTACCATTACCCTCTGATTTATTTACTCTATTTCCCTGTTTTTTGACATTATCTATCCCATCTTAATAGTGTGCTGGTGATAACATCTTTTGTGAAAGTGACACCACCATATGCTGCCTAAATTGTTTCATTTTACTGGTTATTTAATCAAAGAGGTTTGAAAGCATTCATTTGCGCTTTTTGGCTATTAAGCTGTGATGTTCCAGGAGCTCCAGAAAGAGATGCCTCTTTTAACTGTGCTAGGAGCTGCTGTCATTGAAATAAACAGAGTTAGGCCGATGCAAATGAGAGCAAAATTTGGTCCCATCTGTTCTACATAATCTAATTCCTAAATTGGGAAAAACCAGTCACTAAGAAATGACACCCAGTATTTTATTTTTGTGGGAATTTGGATTTTCACTTCTAAAAAATACTCAAGCTTGTAACACAGGCTAGTGTGCTAAACATGTTGGTTTCATCTAGGTTGACAACGGAGACTTTTCTTTCTTACCTTTTAGATAAGAGTATATCTAAAGCATTAAAATGTTCATTAGTTTTAGTTATTGGAAAACAAAGAGACTAAGTAGTCCTGAATGCTGTGGGTTTTAGAAGGATAATTAAAGGTGAGCAATAAAGAGACAACAGATGTAGTGCTTAAACACTGAAGAATATCGCACTGTTTTAAAGAAAGGAAGAGCAATGTTATTAATGAGTAGACCCAAATCTACCTCCTACCCATGGTGGCTGTCCCTTCCCAGTGCCTGAATGGGCTTCTCATTGAGGTCTGCTCGGTCCTGCTGTGCCAGAGCTCTCCGCTTGGTGAACAGGCTTCACGTGGCAGTTGCATGTGGCTCACATCGCTCTTCACTTTTGGAGGTGGGTGCTAGAATTGCTGTGATATTACCCAAGTTTGCTAAAAGACTATGGGACAGAAATGTCCACACGTGAAATTCCTATAGGAACCAAGGGACATGTTAATGGATTGTTAAATAATCTGCTTTGCAGTAGTGGACATGCAAGTGCTGTTACAGATAGTTTTTCAAACACTGGCACCTGGGAATAAGGAACTCTTAAAAATCACAGCCCCCCTGTAGTTTAAAAACCACACAGATGGTACTAAAATGGCTCACTGGGAGTGGTGGTATCCAGGTGTGTCCTCCTGTGGTGGTTCTTGCACACATGTAAAGCACTGGCCAGAATTTCCAAGCCTACATGTATGCATTGAATATGAGCAGCCTAAGTTTTCAGAAGATGCTCTGTATTGCCAGGTCCTCTTGAAGTAAATGGAGTGGATGCAGATTTCATCAACAGCAGCAGAATGAGCCCAGCTCTTGTGTGCATGAGGACATTCATTCAGGTTCCTCATATTGACCAAGGTGCCTGGTTACAGGAGACAAAGCATGGATCTCTCTGGTCTTAGTGTTTACCAAATGCCATGAACAAGGCAACCAGCATATCAGATTTAGGAATCTTTTGGGGGGAATGAAGATTTAAAGAAGTTAGATTATCACCTGTCACCAAATATCCTCAGGCAGGGGAAGAACTTTATTAACTTTAAAAAGAGGCTTAGAAATTGAATGTCAAATTTGCTATGTAAGGGATAAATTCCTTATCCTTCTGAACTATAGGGCGAATTTAGGACCACTGCATTTGGATTCCAGATGATTCTACTGTAATGAAAGGCTCAGTTTTGTAATATCAATATATGACTGTTTACGCTTTTTTCAAAGAGAAGA